GTGAAGTTGGCTGTGATGGTGACTCCTAAGTACTTGAAATTGCTGGCGTTGGAGACTTCAGTATTGTTGACAGAGACAGATATCGAAGATATATTACATATCTTCCTATCACTGCCTATAATCATTGATTGAGTTTTATTTAAATTCAGTGTTAGCTTATTCTCATTTAACCAAATCGCTAACTTGAGTAAATCTTCATTAAGATTTTTTTCAAGATCATTGACATCTGAGGCGTAGCAATACAAGACTGTGTCGTCGGCATACAAGGAAACATTGCATTTATTGGTAATACTGGGCAGATCGTTTATGTACACGAGAAAGAGAAGTGGGCCCAAAATGCTCCCCTGGGGTACTCCAAAAGTGACAGGAAGAGCGTCTGACAATTCACTTCCACAAGACGTTTGTTGCATCCGGTTGCTCAGGTAGGACTCAAACCAACCTACGGTGCTAGGTGACATACCCATCGCTTTAAGTTTGTGGAGTAAGATGCTGTGGTCCACTGTATCGAATGCCTTCGACAAATCTAGAAATACAGCTCCACAAAGCCTTCCACATTCCATGTTACTCAGAGTTTCATCCGCAAAGTTGGTCAAGGCAGTGATGGTTGAGTACCTTTGTCGAAATCCAAACTGCTTGCTTGTGAGCAAGTTGTTAGTAATTAGGTGGCTATACAATTGCGAGTGAACGGTTCTCTCTAAGATCTTACTTAGAGTAGGCAAGACCGAGATAGGACGATAGTTTGTAGGATTGGAACGTTCACCTGATTTAAATAGGGCCGTGACCTTAGCACATTTCCAAATCTTTGGGAAATGGTTGCTCCTGATGGAAAGATTAAGTAATCTTGTTACAGACTTGCTGATTGAACAAGACGCACATTTTAACAGTCTTGCGCTTATTTTGTCCAAACCGATAGCTTTGTTTGTCTTCAAAGTCTGGAGTTGTGCAAGAACATAGGATTCTTGTACTTCTTTGAGCTCAAACATTGTTTCCGGGACAGGAGTGGGACTTGCTGTAATTGTTTGTGAGACAGTTGTAAACTTTGCAGCTAAGGATTTTCCGACTGAGGCGAAATAAGTGTTAAGGGCAATGGCAATAGATTTGGGGTCTGAGTGTTTTACTCCATCAGTGACAATGTACTGCGGGGTGGAGCTCTTGTTATCGCGTGACGAAACTTCGTTAACCGCCTTCCAAATCCTGCTGGAGTCACCTTTACTTTGTTCAATTAGCTCGCAGTAGTATTTGGACTTGGCCGATTTAACTTCTTTATTAACAAAGTTTCTCAATTTTTGTACATATTCCAATGATAGGTTTTGTTTGACTTTACGGCTTTGCGATGATGGTAGTCGCGATCTTGCATAGCTTCGCTAATCTTACTGTTCATCCATGGTACTTGTGTGCCTTTTACACGACGACGTTTGACAGGTGCATGGGCATCGGCGATGTCACAGAACAATTTATTCCACATCAGTACTGCACTGTCAATGTCGCTTTCATTTTCGACAACGTGCCAAGGTACATTATTCAAGTCTTGAATGAAAGTATTGGCATTAAAGGACTTGTACGAGCGGTATTCAATTATAATGTCTATAATATACAGCCGATTATGTAGACAGACACTTATAGACAGGCAGTACGTCTAGACACAGGCTGCTCAGATAGACTGTCGAAACGTGAGCATTTATACTTGTTTTCTCTTGTTATTTGGTTTTGACAGATAAAGTATAAATTATTTTAAATTATTTTGCTTGTTTATCGGGATTTTAGAGAAATAAATAGTCAATATGAACATCATGTTGCAAAAGCTCCGTGCGCGTGACTTGACACATAATAATTAATAGACAAAAGATCAGTTATTGATAGCATGCTTAAAGCCACTACTCCCACTACTAATTTCGTTTAAAAAATATTTAAAGTTATCTAACTTTTGTTTAGGGCTGAAACACGTATTTCAATTGCTCGATCAAAATACGTTACACTTCATTGAATCCCGGGTAAGCGGGACCATATAAACTGCCTCTTATAATCAAATTTCTCACGAGAGCGAAACGCAGTGCCGTAGCTAGCTCGATAATTGGGGGGGGCAGATATTCATATATTCGTGTTCTGCGTTATTAATTTCTTTTGAAATCGATTGTTTTTATGGTCTGTGAACACGAATATATGAATATCTGCCCCCCCCCAATTATCGAGCTAGCTACGGCACTGGCGAAATGCAAATTTTGTATCATCGCCTCTGATCATCGCCCATGTTTGTATATTTTAAATTCCGATGTATATTAAAATACGTATACTTTCAAACATCAAACCTCGCATCAGACTTATAGTTCTTCAGCGAAACTTTCAGTATACATATAGATTATAGCCGTAGGCGAAATTTTTCAGTTTTGAGAGCAAAACTAATTGTTTTGCCGCTTTTGGGAGCTTTCAAAATGGTTGTAAAACTTTTGAAATGGATAAAAAATTACTATTTTCGACCCTCGACCCTCGTTATAAGCGTCAATTGCATTTAGGTAATGAGTTCCACAGTTTAGCTCCATCACAACAGAAGCTTTTCTTAAGGTCGAGAAATAAGCGAGATTTAAAAAAAGCTTTTAAATGTTTTCCACGTCATTTTAAAAGTTCTTTCAGATAAGGGAATCTAATTTCTATATTCATGCTATTTCCGATCATATCCCTCCTCAACAGGGCCGTTCCTAGACGCGATAATGGGGGGGGGGGGTATATTCATATATTCATGCTCGCTACCGTAAAAACAATCGCTTTCAAAAGAAATCCGTCGGGCAGAAGACGAATATATGAACATACACCCCCAATTATCACGCTAGGAACGGCCCTGTCCCTTTAATTAAACGACTGAACTTGCCCGGCTTCAATGAAAATAAGGCCGAAGTTTGACGCTTAAACTGAACTGCTTAGAGCACAACATGCTCAAATATAAGTAATTGACTGTTTATAGTAAGTATATATAGCCTTGAATCTAGCGAGTGTACAAGTGTTTCTAGTTTATTTTAATTGGCGCGCATGGATCGATCAATTGAAACAAGAATTTGAAGCAGAAATCTTAGTCTTGGAGAGTTTAACAGCGTATTTTTATCTAGAAATAGGCAAACCAGTTTAAAATTATCTACGTCTTATATTTCCTGTCAATAACAAGAGAAAACTAGCAAGAATGATTAAGGTTCGACTGTCTATAGTTGAAGCAAAGTGCCTAATTGTCTGAGGATTTTTAAGTTTTTTTTTGTGATTTTCTCGATATTATAGTCAGTATAATTCCGCGGTAACAAAAAGCCCCAAAATAATTTTTACATCGGGTTTTAGAGCAACAGTTTGTCTTTAAATTCCGTAAATTTCAAGGAAATTGGAGTTTTCCCGGATACAGAAAATTAATTTTCAAAAAGTGTAACAATTTAGAATTTTTTGGATCGCAAAAAAAGACGATTTTTACACGCTTGTCTTGACATTGAAAAATCATTTCAAAAATTGCAAATTGGACCCACGTTCTTTATAAACATCTTATAAACACGTTTAAAAACGAAAGGTGAGGTTTCATCACACGCCAATTGAGAAAAACGAAATTTTCGAGAGGCCGTAGCTCACAATTTTTTTTGCTAATTTCGCGAATCTCGGGTATGTGTGAGGTTTTGATAATTTTCGGCGTTTAAAATAATATTTCAGAAAACAAACCCCACCACGTTTCTGAGTACACATTAGAGTATCACTGGAAAAAATAAGAAGATTTTTTATTTTTCCTCATGTGCCACGTATTCTCGATTTTGCTCGGTTTTAGTGGACATTGTCTCTTAAACTTCAGCTTTGATTTTCTCGGCTTAGAGGCAATGTTTATTTTTAAAATTACTTCGCCAATGAACTCATAGATGGGTCATTTTTAAGTACGATAAAAAATTCGCATACGATCTGTATCTGATATACAAACTCTCGCCTTCGGCTCGAGATTGTATATCAGATACAGATAGGCTGCTCATGTTTTTTATCCAGTACGTAATAATATGATTTCACTTTCGAGTACAATTTAGTGGAAAAAACATGCAGGAATGAGCTTTTTAAAGACGATCAAAATTGCTCGAGAAACCATACTTATCACTTATTTACTGTAACCGAGGGAAACAGTGTGTTTTGTGGACCCGGGCGAGACCGAGGGAAACATCGACGGTCGAGGGTCCACAAAACACACTGCTTTCCCGAGGTCTCAGTAAATAAGTGTTTAATAATATATCAATAGTCAAAGAGACAACAAATTAAAGAACAAAAGAACGTAAGTACATGAAATATTTTGGTTAAAACGTTATATTAAACACTGGCTACCGGCTGCAGTTACTTCAAGCGAAAGTTTTAATTGGCGCACTAGGCATGTCCAAATGTCGCATCTTCACGTGATGGCGCACGTGAATTTTTTTGTTATTCGCCGGTCGATAACGTATTAGAGAGGTTAAGATACCCCGGTTCCGGTTTACGGGTACGAGTATCGCCATTTTGTTTACTAATTTTTGCTGATGTCAGCATTTTTACCCGTAATTTCTACCCGTTTTCCCGCGGTAAACCATGGTCTACACGTAAACGACAAACGGGTAAATTTCAGACAAGAAAGTGAAGGCCAGTGAAGAATTGTTCGAGGAATGGAAAAGTGTGTAAGTAGTTTCATCACACGTAAAATTTATTTAAGGAATAGCATACTACAAGATAGCTATTTTGAATGACTTTGTGTGGTTTGTAAATATTGTATTTTAATATAGTATAAGTAATGAACGCCATAGTTCAACCATAGACGGTTCGTAGTCGCAAAAAGTATATCTTAATTCTTCAATCTTTATTCCTGTTTTACTGAACCAGAGAACTTAAAACTAGTTACAAAAAAAACCTAGTAAATAAGTAGTGAAATATTACAGATAGTATTATAGATTGAAATGGCTAAGATAAACATTTATATGTGAACAAATAAACAACATGTTAAAGAGCCTGATTTTTAAATTGTTTTGAAGACCATGTTGAGATGGCATGCTCACCATGATGTGGACCTGCTGCGAGAAGTGGTAGCAGTTCGGCCGAAGTCTGCAAATGACTGGAACACCATAGCGGCCAATTTGCACAATGCTTGGGGCGAGGAAGAAACACAAAGAAGTCCTATCAAGGGACGTTCTTGTAAGGAGCATTTTGGTGTCCTGTTAGCACACCACAAGGCTGGAAATGCTTCAGCATTAAAGAAGTAAGTATTACTACTTTGTTTAATAATTATTGTTAGGGCCATTCCATTTAATGTACACACACCCCTATGGAGGAGGTCAATAAAATTTGAACCCCTAAAAATAAAGGTGCCGACACAACCATCCTCCCCCCGTCCCCCCCAGAAATTAAGAACTTTTGCCTTACCCCTCGGAAAAACCAAAAGATCAAAGGACGCCGATGCACACAACCCTCAGAAACGGTTTTTTCAACCTCAGAAATTCTCGTCCATAGGCTGGAGGGGGGGGGGGGTATATTAAATGGAATGGCCCTTATTAATTTTATGTATCTTATGGATTAAGGGAAGTAATAGCTACAAGGGTAAAAAAACATTGCATTCGAGAAGCCCTTTACCAGTTACCCATGAATTGATCTAGAATGAGAAGGGTAGGGAGTCTTTTCCATTCATATCTTGTATTCATGTTTTTTCTTGTTTTCTGCATTTATTACACATGTAGATTACAATTCACTCATACAGCAAGTGATGATGTCGTTGCGATAGAATTACATAGGTATTTAATTCACATGTAATGTTAACCATAGGTAAAAGAAAGAAGCGCACAAACAAGTCAGATTTCATGTCATATCTCTCAGAAAAAAATTCATCCAATGTTGCTCTGCGACAGAAGGAGCTAGAATACAAGAATAAGCCTCTTGAAGTTGAAAAAAAATTAAAGGAAGATGCAATGGTATTGGAGCAAAAGCGACTTGACCTTCAAGCAAAACAAATTGAAATGCAATTTGAAATGATGAGGTCATTTGTAGGTACCAGTAATTTCTCAAAGCACTAATTAAATTTTTATTTTGTTGTTATTTATTGTTATTATTGTATATAGTTGATTTGTTTTTAAAACAAAGTAATTTCTGAATAAACATACTGTTCTAAATACTTTAGCAATGATATGTAAATGTTCCATAAAATGAGTTATTTATTTTTTAATAAAATTATATTTATTATATAGACTACTATTTAATTATTATTGCATTTCATATGACGTCACAGTGACAACTGGGTGTCAGCTCTAACACAAGACACAGTTATCGGAGTGAGTTTATGGTTTGCCAGATGTATCGGCCTTGTGTTTGGTGGCAAACACGTACAATTTCTCATCATTTTGTTACACCCATACTGCATAAGTGTTACATACGTACATTTGAGTTGATTCACTTTGAAAAATATAATATCACGAATTGCAGACTTCCAGTTTAAATTCAAGAGAAAAGTGACATGTTTAACAATGGTCTGACTTAAAGACATACATGTCCAATACATGCATCTATTAGCAGGTGTAACAGAGGGCTCGGTTAGCAGGTGTAACAGTGGGCTACAGGTGCCACAGGTAGCTTTATATAGCATTAAGCTTATGTATTCAATAAATGGTTACTAGTTTTAGGGTTAGTTATAATGATAACTGCCATGTGAGGATAAATACCATATTCAACCATCTGTAGCATCTGCATGCTATCCGATACCTTATACTTTGCATACCTCCTTAAGGAGGGCTCACTTAAATTTGAACTGGAAGTCTGAAATTCTTGATCTTTCTACTTGCACAGATCATATTGTCTAAACATACATAACTTTAGTTATGTAAATATGTCTGAAGATCAGGGGGAGGGAGTTCAAAAAAGCTTGATGTTGTACTGCCATAAAGACAAGGATGACAGTTGGCTAGAATTACACCAACAGCATAGTACTTTCCAATTGGCTGTAGAACCACTTTAAGATTCTTCCTAAAATCAAGAAATGCAAAGTATTGCACCACTTTGCCAAATGCTCATTCGACAGATACACGCACTTTACTCATTCTCTTGTTGAACAATTGCTGGTCTCTTGTAACTACTGCTCCTCTGTATGGTGCAAGTATATGCATGCGGAGAGGGTAAGCTGGATCCCCATACAAGGCAAATACGTGGGGTGGTCTAAATTTCTCTTCTAGCTTCTGCAGTAAATTACTTTCATGGAGCATAAAGGCATCATGATGTTTTCCTGCTACAGGGCCATACAGGTTAGCAATTAGTCCATTAGGGCAAACATCACTCTAAAGAGAAATTTGTGTCAAGTAAAATAAAATTGAAGTTATCTATTAAAGTGCAAAACTAGACAGAGTAAAACAATAAAGTAGGGTGCAGTTGAGTTCATTATGACTTAATGGTAAAGGAACAGTTCTTCTTCCTTAGAATTGTAAACACACCTGAAATTTTAGACCATGTATGCGCTTGTGACCTGAGAATAGAATTCTCTGATTGAGAACAGGTCTGCAGCATGGTCGCAAGATTCCATCAATGAACCCCCAACAATTTTTTAGCGGACCTCCAACAGCATGGATGACATCAGAAAACAGCTGTGGATCAATCCAGTTCTGGTTAAGCTCTTCAAGCAAGTGTCGGAAGCGATTGTATATATCATTGAGTATCTATACAAAAATATACAGTATGGGTAATAAAGTTGAGGTTGCTGCAATCACAGACCTAACCCAACCCCTGAGAATACAAAACCTGGAGATGGAATGATGGATATAGAAATGGGAGAAATGGCTGGCTGGACTATAGTGTAAGGCAAAATGATTTCTATTTGACAATGGTATATAATTAATGCAATCACATGATCCTAAAATGAAACCCAACAATATTTAACACTTATTTGCCAAAGGCTCAGTGATTATTGGGGAATATTCACCAAGACAAAATCAAGGTGAATATTCCCGATAATCACCAAGCCTGAGGTGACTAATTGTTTTAGTATTTTTACACAAGTCTTTTGCATTTTTGGGGAGACTGGATTTATTTTATATTCCATTATTTATTATTTAATAACCAATCACTTCCACAAAACGGCTAGCCGCCATTTTCCAAATTTCGCTTTTGTTATATTCACATGTAGGTGAATATAACAGCTTAATACGTAAAATTTGACCAATCAACTTGTAGGATTTGTTATATTCACTTGTGCAAAAATACTAATCATATATATCAGCCATTCCTAAATTTAACCAATGAATTTCAGTAACACTACTAAATATATTATATAATCAGGTCTGTATGAATGTACCTCATGAGCAATCATACTCAATTCAGGCTCAGGTCTTCCAAATAGTTGGCAAAGATCCAACAGTCGATTTGGATATGTCAGTCGTCTGAGCAGCAATAGTAATGCCTCCATACCACCAGCTACGGTACCATTTGTGCATCGGTACGATTCCGGAATAAATAAATGATGTGCCAAAAGGTAAATATCTTCTTCGTAAATCTGTCAGTGAAACAATTTTATTATTTTAATGCAAGAATACAATTTTAATTACTACTGCATGTGTAATGATGTGTTCAATATTTCATATTTGGAGCTAGAGGTTTTAATATAAACAGTAGCGAATAACTTCAAGTTCAACATCTTACCTAAATAAATCAATGCACACTTGATCATCAATTTTTTCCAGGTCTATAGTGAACCTCAACAACGAATGTTCCTTGAATAATGAAAATGCTAACAAAATTTCAATATCGCTGTCTTCATCGATAACTTCTTCGTCAGACTCTGCTACGAGGCAAAGCAATAAATCATCTGTAACTCTCCTAGAAAAAGTTTAATGAGTCATTCAATCATCTTAAAATATTAAGCCGGTGAAATTGTCGTACGAAAACAACAAAATGACAAAGAAAACAAAGGTACAAACCAACTAACCTTTCACGAGCAGCCGCCATTTTGATTGTTTATGTGCTTTATATAGTTTAATAGTTACCATTCTCCGCTCGGTACTTGTAGCCCGAAATGTATCGGGGCTCTTAAGTCGCAAACCGGAACTCGGTTTACGGGTACGGGTATGGGTGTATCACCCGTACCCGTAAACCGGAACCGGGGTATCTTAAACTCTCTATTATCTCCCTCTCGCGCTGTTGCGAGGGAGACAGCCTAATTTCGTCACAGTCACGTGATATGCTCGCAACAAACAAAACACTAGAGAAATGCGACTTTGACTATTGATATGTAATAATATTAATTATTAATAATATACATGAAAAAATATGCTATCACCATGCGTGCGTAGGTCACATGCGAAATAGTTAATTTTAATATAGCTAAATAATTTTAATAGAAAATCTACTAAACACGCCAGCCATTAATTTTTTGTCATTTTTAAATGTTTAGGTTTTAATTTGTATTGTTTTCTGCAACATATATAGAAATGGCTGCATGTTATAGTTAATGAAATTTGCACTGTAGGCTATTTAAGTTTTTGGCACTGTATTTAGAAAACATTGAACTGCTCTTAGCCATTCAGAATTGAGAATTTTTTTATGAATGTTATTATAAAAGAATGGACTCCACAATAAAACTGATAAATATATGGTCAAAACTATTTAGCTCCAAGGTTGCAGAGACATTTTTTTGAAAACTATGACATATTGATCATTAATTAGAAATCTCATTTGTTCTATTTAGATAGATAGATCAACTTTATTTAAACACATTGGCCTTTTCAGCAAAAGCTGATTTCCAAAAGGGATGTGTACTTACAAATTATTATATATATATACTAGCTCTAATATTACATACATAACCAATACAATTATATACCTATTTAGACAAAAAATTAACTACTACTTTAAGTCGAGATTAAGGTCGAGGAAGATAGCTTTTTACAGAACGAATTATACGATACCGAATTGCGTATCTCTTCAGGTATCTGATTCCATAGTTTAGCCCCACTATATTGGAAGCTTTTTTTTAAGGATTCCGTTTTTGGTCTTGGAATATAAAACCTTGTTGAAGAACCTCTCAGATTATGGTCATGAATGGTATTCAGATTTTGTAAAGCTTCGCATAGTCGTTGGGGGGCTAAACCATTAACTGTCTTGTACATGAGCCTGGCTTTCATTTGTGCCCTACGCTTTTCAAGTGTTACCCAGCCTAGAGATTTTCGTGCCAAAATAGACTGACCATGTTCATTTTTTAAGTTCATGATCAACCTAGCCGCTCTGTTTTGGAATTTCTGTAGACGTTCGCTTAGGCCTTTATTAAGTGTATCCCATACTTCACAGCAATAATCAAAATAAGGTTGGATTAAGGCATTATAAACTTTTATCAAAATGTCTTGTTCGACATACTCCCTCATTTTTCTAATAGCCCCAATACCTGATGATATTTTACTGCTAATATGGTTAATGTGTTTTTCCCAACTCAAGTTTTCGTCTAATTCAACTCCAAGAGCTTTGGTATTTTTAACTTTTTTAATCAATTGATTATTTATTTTAACTCCTTGATGGGTATCAATATTACTTATTTTATGTCGTGTTCCAATTAAAGCATACTCGGTTTTCACTATATTTAGACTTAGTTTATTTGCACAAAGCCATTTCTGAACATTCCTCATGTCTACGCTCGCCCTCTCTTCCGCCTCACTAATTGTTCTGCCTACTGCGGTTAAGTTAGTATCATCAGCAAACATTCTTGGAGTTGTGCGTTCTAGGCAGCTTGGCAAATCATTTATATACATAATAAATAAGAGAGGGCCGAGTATACTTCCCTGAGGAATGCCACAAATTATTTCTTTCTCCACCGAGAGTATACTGGCCAATTGACAACTTTGAGTTCGGTGCGTCAAATAGCAACGTAAAAGATTTAATGCTTTCCTTTGGAAACCATACATTTCAAACTTACTTAACAGCATTTCGTGGTCGACTGTATCGAATGCTTTTTTAGGTCAAGAAAAATAACTAAGTTATACAGCCCACGGTCCATGTTGGTATACCATTCGTTCGTACAATCCAATAATGTAGTAGTTGTGGAATGATAAGGTCTGAAACCAAATTGGTGTTTTGGGAAAAGATTATTCTGGTTAAGATACTCATACATTTGATCATACATAATTCTTTCCATAAGTTTACTTGCTACAGGAAGGATTGATATCGGTCTATAGTTGTCCAACATGGACCGCTGACCTTTCTTAAACAATGGAATAACCCTTGCAGCTTTCCAATCAGAAGGAAATTGATCCGAGCAATTGACATATTAAAAATCTCAGTAAGAGAAGGTGCAATAACTGGAGCTGCTACTTGTAGAATTTTAGCTGAAATTTTATCCATTCCAGTCGCTTTGGTGGTAGACAAATTAACTAGAAGAGTGTAAACCAATGTTACACTCACTGGTCGAAATGAGAAACTGTTCTTTGTCTTAGATTTTTGTTGAGTAATAAAATCTCGAAAACTAACGTCATTGTCATTTGGAATAGACTCAGCAAGCTTTGGGCCAATATTACTAAAATGATCGTTAAAAATGTCGACTAATTCGTCGGTCGATGTAACAGTTTTACCTGGACGTTTAATTTCATTAATCGTAGTCTGTTTTCTGTTTCGACCTAATATATATCGTTTATTGTTCTCCAAGCATATTTAGGATTCTGTTTATTATTTGTGAATTTGTTTGCAATCTGTTTTAGCACTGCGCAAAGCAGTGTTGGCAACATTTCTAGATGACTTATATAG